AACCCCCCTCCATCCTCTCCCGTGACCCTTCTCTGTCCCCACCCCCCCGTTATGGGCTGAACTGTGTCCCCCACCAACTTCATGTGTTGAAGCCCTACCCACAGCACCTCAGCGTGTGACTGTGTATGCAGACGGGGCCTATAAAGAGAATTACGGTAAAATGAGGTCACATGGGTGGGCCCTAATCCAGTGTGTCTGGGGTCCTTATAAGAAAAGGAGGTTAGTACTCAGACTCACAGAGGGGCGACCCCAGGAGGACACAATGGGAAGACAGCCATCTGCACGCCAAAGAGAGAGGCCTCAGAAGGAGCCAGCACTGCTGATACTTTGATCTCAGATGTCCAGACTCCAGGATGGGGAGAAAATCAGTCTCTGTTGTTTAAGCCGTCCAGCCTGTGGTGCTTTGTTAGGGAAGCCCCAGGAAGCAGACACCCCCAACCCAGGGCTCCAGGACTCCTGCCTGCCCAGCCTCCCAGGCAGCCCCTGGTTTCCTATCTGAGCTGCCAGCCCCACTGGGCACTGTGGTGTGAGGACTGGAGCTGGTGGCTGAGCCGGGGGTGGGGGGGACTAAGGTGGGGAAGGCGATTGGGAGGCAGTGTCACCAGGGGGTCCGAGTGTCCCCTCCCCGAGGGCTGGGGTGGCCTTGAGCAAGCCCCGGTCCCTCAGCGGGCTGGGTGACCCCCTCCAGCAGGTGGACGGTGAGGCTGGGGCCGAGGTCAAGGGCAGGGAGCCCTCCGCCCCGACCCCACTTCACAGGTGGGGAGCCTGCAGGAGGCCAGGGTCTCAGCTAGCAGGGTGGCTGGGCCTCCTGACTCCAGGGCCTGTGCTTTGCCCGCCCCTGCCCCCCCCCCCGGAGGCCTGACCCTCACACAAGGCTTCTGTGTGCAAAGGAGGCTCATCACAAGGTTTCGGGGTCCAAGGAAGCTTCTATCACAGAACACAGACATCCCAATGTTGCCCATCCCTCAAAAGTGTCCCATTTAACTGTTCAGCATCCCCAGCGCCCCTCCCCCAGGAATCCTCCGTCTGCCACGTAGTCCCAGCATCCCAGCCGCCTCCACCTCAGTTGGCCTCCTTGCTCCCTCAAGGCCCACTCATCTCTCTCCCCTTCCACATTTCCCCTCTCCTAGGGCTTCCAGGAACTCAAACCACCCCATTTATCACAAGGGGATGGTGGCTATACTAATCAGAGGGAAAAGAGGGATCAAGCAATAAGGGACCTGGGAAATCACCCCCTAGACCGAAATCACCAGGTGAGACCCCACCTCACATCACTATGAAATGCGACCCCGATAGTTAGAGACCTAAGTGTGCAGGGAAAACTTTTTTACCATCTCTGGGTGGAGAAAGACTTCTTAAACAAAAAATGAAGGGAAATATTGATAAATCCAACCAGAGCAAAATTAGAAAACTTGGTATGACAAAGCACACTGTAAACACAGCAATAAGACCACCAGACACAGAGGAGATATTTACAATACGCATAACCAACGAGGGATTAACACCCAGGCTACACAGAGGACTCCTGCACATCAATAAAAGGACAATCAGGGAGCCGGCCAGGGATGGGAACAGGACGTCCCAGCAAAGCAGAGAGAGCCCTGGAGGCCATGTGACCACAGGGACCAAGGTGACTTGTGGGGTCTTGAAGGACATGGCCACACCCGAGGGCCATGGGGCAATGCCCCAGGGCAGGCGGTGGTGAGAGTGGCCCCTCTCCACACACACAGAAGAACTCAGACCCACGTCTGCGGGGAGAAGCGAGGGGAGCTCAGACGGACAGCAGCTGAGCTCCCACCGTGGGGGAAGCAGTGCCTCAAGGCCGAGCTTCAGCTGAGTCACAGAGACTCATAAATCGTCCTTTCCTTGCACACCTCAGCCTGGGGGCCAGTGTCTGTGTTTTATTGCTTCTCCTGGGGGCCACGTATTTTCCCCAGAGCCTGGGATTAAGTCACCAACAAAGACCAGGGACCCCAGGCGGGCTGGAAGGGGAGGGGTCCCGGATGCCCATCATCTCCCCGCCTGCTCTCTCCTGGGCCTGTAATTGGATCTGGAGACTGAGAGCTTTGGCCTGGGGATGGGGGCGGATAATGGGATCCCAGGTCTCGGGCTCTGGGCTAAGCCTTGGGTGGGGAGAGGCCAGGGGCCACAGAGCACAGAAGGCCCCCCGTGTGGCCTGCACCCCGGTCCCACGGGCCCCCTCTAGGCTCTGGGCTCCTCCAGCTCCGTGTGAGCCCTGGGTGGGCCTGCCTGCCCGTCGTCACGGGAGATTGGGTGTGAGGTGGGCCTGGCTGGAAGGCCAAGGACGCTGAGCCCCTGGCATTAGGCCTCTCCTTCATCACCAGGTGACACACGGGGCTGAGGGCTGACTGGCAGTTTCTCCGTGGGGTCTGGGCTTCCTCACAGTGCGAGGGCCGGGCAAGCATCCGGAGACAGTGCCCAGCACAAGCGGTGTCCTGTCTGTGACCTAGCCCAGAACATACAGAGTGCTTCTCTGCACCGTCCTGGCTGGTGGAGACATGGGTCCCCACCCAGATTCAAGAGGAGGGAGCACAGTTCAAAGGGGAGTAGAGTCCTGACCACCACCAGGGACCAGGAATATAGCCGTGGCCAGTTTTAGAAACTACAGCCAAGCACATCTTTGAATCCATGGTGCTCAGTGAGACCTTGGCGCATGGATAGCCGCCCGCGATCTGGGGCCCCAGTGGACAGGAGCCCGCGGGGCAGAGCTCCTTCTTCCTGCGGCCTGCCAGGTGTCTGAGCTGTTGTGCCCACCTTTAGAGAACCCTCATTCCTTTCCCACCTCTCGGGCTGTCTGGATACTAGGTCCCACTTGAAGTCCCTTTGCGGTCGGGCCCCCCTCCTCCCCAACCTCCAGTCCCTGCAATCACGGATCTGTTTTCTGTAGTAATAGCTTGGATTTTTCTAGAACATTATGTAAATATAATCATATAGCATGTAGCCTTATGTGTCTTTTTAGGATTTTAAGCAAATCCGGAATAGGACTTGCCTATTTTGGACATTTCATATCAATGGAATCACACGATATGTGGCCTTTTGTGTCCAGTTTCTTTCATTCAGCATCACGTTTTCAAGGTTCCTCTAGGTTGTAGCAGGTGTCAGCGCTTCATTCCTTTGTTTGTGGCAGAAAAATATTCCATCATATGAATAGACCACGTTCTATTTATCTGTCCATTCATCAGCTGATGGCCATTTGAGTTATTTCCACCTTTTGTCTAGTGTGAATAATGCTGCTATGAACGTTTATGTACAAGTTTTTGTTTAAACAACTCTTTTCTGTTCTTTTGGGGTCTGTACCTAGGCATGTAATTGCTGGGTGACATGGTAACTCTGTGTTGAACATTCTGGAACTGCCGAAGTGTTTTCCACAGCGACTGCACCATTTTACACCCCACCAGCTTGCACGAGGTTCCAATTCTCTACATCCTTCCAACGCCTATTCTTTTCTTTTCTTTTTTATTATTGTGGTCAAACTAGTAGGTGTGGAGTGGTACCTCACTGTGGTTTTGATTTGCGTTTCCCTAACTAATGATGCTGAGCATCTTTTCATGTCTTGTTGACCATTTGCATATCTTCTTTGGAGAAATGAATGTCTATTGAGATCCTTTGCTCATTTTAAAAATCGGGCTGTCTTTTTATTCTTGAGTTGTATGAGTTCTTTATACGTTCTGGGTACTAGACCCCTACCAGATATGTTTTGCAAATATTTTCTCCCATTCTGTCATTTCACTTTCTTGGTGGGGTCCTTTGATGCACAAAAGTTTTAAAGTATGATGAAGTCCAATTTATCTATGTTTTCTTTTGTTGCTTGTGTTTTTGGTGTCATATCTAAGAAACCATTGCTAAATCCAAGGTCATAAAGATTTGCCTCTGTTTTCTTCCAAGAATTTTATAGTTTTAGCTGTGATGTTCATGTTTTTAAGTTTATTTTGAGTTAATTTTTATATATGGTGTGAGGTAGGGGTCCAGCTTCATTTTTTTCACGTGTGGCTCTCCAGTTGCCCCAGAACCATCCGTTGAAGAAACTATTTACCCCCGTTGAATAGTGGTGGCCTGCATGTTGGAGATCAGTTGGCCACAGATGTATGAGTTTTTTCTGGACTCTCACTGATCGTTATGTCTATCCTCACATCAGTACCACGTTGTTTGATTACTGTAGCTTTGTAGTAACTTTTGAAATCAGAAAGTGCGAGTTGAATCCTCCACCTTTATCCTTCTTTTTCAAGATTATTTTGGCTATTTGGGACCCCCTTGCAATCCCATATGAACTTTAGAACTAGCTTGTCCATTTCTGCAAAAAAGGCCTTGGAATTTTGATAGGAATTGCATTGAATCTGTAGATCAATTTGGGGAATATTGTCATTTTAACATTATTAAGTCTTCCAATCCGTGAACATGGGATGTATTTCCATTTATTTAGATGTTTTATAGATTTCTATGTTTTATAGATTTCCTTATATCAGTTTGTACCTACTACCTTGGTTTACTTAATTTATTGTTAAGTATCTGATTCTTATTATTAAGTATTTGATGCTATTGTTAATGGAATTGTTTTCTTAATTTCCTTTTCAGATTGCTCATTGTTAATGTATAGAAATACCACTGACTTTTGTGTGTCGATCTTATATTCTGCAACTTTGCTGAATTTGTTTATTAGCTCTGTTTCTTTTGTGTGTATAGATTCTTTAGGATTTTCTATATATAATGTTGTGTCATCTCTTAATAGAGGTAGTTTTACTTTGCATTATTTTTTTTGAGATTTATTGGTGATGCTGTGTGTATCAATAGTTTATTCCTTTTTATTGTTGAATAGCATTCCATTGAATGGATATGTCACAATTTGTTTATTCACCTGTTAATAGACATTTGGGTTGTTGCCAGTTTAGGCTACTGCAAATTGGGCTGCTATGAAGATTATTGTACAATTCTTTGTATGGACACATCTTTTTATTTCTCTTGGGCAGATACCTAGGAGTGAAATGTTTTGGTCGTATGGCAGGTATGTATTTAACTTCCACCTTTTAAGAATCTGCCGAACTATTTTCCAAAGTGGTTGTACAGTTCTGTGCTCACATCAGCAGTGTGTGAACGTTCCAGTTCCTCTAAATCCTCACCAACGCTTGACATGATTGGTCTTTTTAATTTTTGTCATTCTAATAGGTGCTGAGAGGTATCTCATTGTGATTTTAATTTGTATTTCCCAAATGATTATTAGCTTTGAGCATCTTTTCAGGTATTTATTTGCCATTTGCATATCTTCTTTGGTGAAGTATCTGTTCATATCTTTTGCCCATTTTAAAATTGACGTTTGGGTTTATTATTCTTGAATTTTGAGAATTCTTTACACATTCTGTATATAAAATCTTTGTTAGATATACAATTTGCAAATATTTTCCCCCGTTCTGTGAGTTGTCCTTTCATTCTCTTTACAGTTACCTTTAAAGGACAGGAATTTTTACTTTTTTTTTTTTTTTTTTTTTTTTTGAGGTACGCGGGCCTCTCGCTGTTGTGGCCTCTCCCGTTGCGGAGCACAGGCTCTGGACGCGCAGGCTCAGCGGCCATGGCTCACGGGTCCAACCGCTCCACGGCATGTGGGATCCTCCCAGACTGGGGCACGAACCCGTGTCCCCTGCATCGGCAGGCGGACTCTCAACCACTGTGCCACCAGGGAAGCCCAGGAATTTTTACTTTTGACGATGCCCAGTTTATTAATTTTTATTTTTTGGATCACGCCTTTGATATCATATCTAAACAATCCTCACTTAAGCAAAGGTCACAAAGATTTTCTCCTATGTTGTATTCTATAAGTTTTATAATTCTAGGTTTTACATTTGGGTCTATGATCCATTTTGAATTACATTTTGTATGTAGTGTGAGATATGGATCAAAATTTTTTGTTTGTTTTTTTTAACATATGGGTATCCAAATGTTCCAATATCGTTGGGTGAAATGATTGTCTTTTTCTCCACTAAGTTGCCTTTGTCCCTTTGTCAAAAATTAGCTGTGTATGTATGCGTGCATCTATTTCTGGACTCTATTCCATGCCTATTTGTCTGTATTATACCAATACCCCACTGCCTTGATCACTATAGTTTTATAATCTGTCTTGAAATCAGGTTGTGTTAGTGCTCCAACTTTGTCCTTTTTCAATCACTTTGCCTCATCTAGGTCTTTTGCATTCCCTGTGAATTTTACAAATCGCTTGTCAATTTCTCAAGACAAACACAACCAGACCTGGTGCAGCCTTTGCACTGATGTCTGAGAGTTGGCCGTTGTTATGGTTTATATTGTCTCCTCTCCTGCAGGCTGAACTTTGCAGGAGCTTCTCCTGCTTTTCCCTGAGGTGGTCTGTCCATCACTGTGTCCGCTCTCTGAACTAACATACTCGCGTTTGTTGTCCGCCATGTAGAGACACCGGGCCCCTTGCGTTACCCACTGAGCTTCTTGCGGTGAGGGGATCATCACTTATTCTCCACCATCTACGAAGAGCCCATCGGAGCTGGGTATATGGGAGAGTTTTTCCTAAGGCTTTGATCATATTTCCAGACAAGTTCATTACTTTATGGACTAAAATTAGGGTGCTAGTGGGAGGCCTAATGCTGTGAGTTCCCATCCACCCAGGCATTATTCACGTATTTACCCATCCATATTCCCATCCATCGAACCATCCATTTTTCACCCATTCATCCATCCATACTCCCATCTATCCATCCATCCACCCACCCATCCTTCACCCACATCCTTCCCTCTTCTACCCACCTTCACGTTCCCCTACCCGTCCCTTCCTGATCACCAACCATGCTGGACACTGGGGTTTAGAAATACCTTCCAGGACCTAAGTTTCTCTTTTTTTTTTTTTTTTTTTGCGGTACGCGGGCCTCTCAGTGTTGTGGCCTCTCCCTCTGCGGAGCACAGAACCCGGACGCACAGGCTCAGCGGCCATGGCTCACGGGCCCAGCCGTTCCGTGGCATGTGGCATCTTCCCGGACCGGGGCACAAACACACGTCCCCTGCATCGGCAGGCGGACTCTCAACCACTGCGCCACCAGGGAAGCCCCTAAGTTTCTCTGTCTTTAAACGAGCAGGTTGAATGAAGTGATTTCCCAGGGCCCTTCACACTCTGGTTTTCTTTGACTTCCATACAAGGACAGTCAAAATCTGAAGCTGACGGGGTTACACGCCTTCCCCAAGAAGGATGAGGGGCTGGGCCAAGTCTGAGGGGGGTTTTCATGCCACTGACTCTGGGACAGACACAGATCACCATTTGCACCTATTTGTGCCAAGATCCCAGGAGCTCAGGTCCCCATCACAGGGCAATGCAGTGGGGGCCCCAGACGTGTCCCCTCTTGGTGCAGGTGGCATTAACTGGGCATCCAGGGGTGCCCCTCACTGTCTGTGTCCAGTGGGAGCCTCCAGGTACCCCGAGGAGGCAGTGGCTAAGCACAGAGGACAGAGAGGCAAGCAGTGGGGGCACTGAGGCCCAAGGGGCAGGGCAGGGGCCTGGGGAAGCCTCAGGTTTGCTCTCCCCTCTGAGCTGATGTCAGCAGTGAACTAAAACCCTGCTCTGGCTGCCGCCGTACCCCCCACCTCACCTGTGCACACCTAGGGCTGTTTGCACCGACACGTGTGTCCCTGGCTAGACTGAGCATGTGGCATGCAGGGTTGGCAGGGCTAACATCCCAGGGGGTGGCCTCTGGGCTGGCGGGAAGGCTAGGGCTGGGGGCCTGGGGGAGGCAGCTGACCCCGATCCACCCACCGCGGCTCCGCCACCACTGGGTCCTGGGGCTCGCCCTGACACCCTGGCAGCCTGGGCCCACTTGTGACAACATACAGTCTGTAGTTAATAACGGAGGTTTTTGTCTCTTCCACAGCTTTCTTGTTTCTCTGTGGCCTCTGCCCACTGAATCGGGGCCCCGGCTGCCTCAGGGGGGAAGCAGACACAGCGAAGAACAAAGAAATCAATTGACTTTCTGGATGAATTTTTAAAAACTCTCGGCAGAGGTAAGATTCTGAAAGCGCAGAGGATTTCTTTTGCAAGGGCAAGGCTTTTTGAGAAAGAAAGCGTTTTTCAGTGAGAACAGAGACTTTATTGCATAAGCCATGGATGGGGGAAACCGTGTGAGGGCTTTTCCTGCTGAAAGGCGCAATAATTGGACCGGGGGGAGGCAGAGAAGGGGGTCCTGAGAGCCCCTTCCAGCCCCTGCCTGGGCGAAACGACCTGGAGGCAGCTGCTGGGCGATCTGGGTGAGTGTGGGCATTCTCAGCGCACGTCTTCGTGGGGAAGCGCCGCCCGGCGCCGTCACGGTGGCCCCCGGGGGCAGCTCTCAACCACTGCTCCTGCAAAGATACTTTATCATTGTTATTATCATTATTTTTGGTTCACAAAGCAAATGGTTTGTGTATTCGACATCTCTTGCTACATAACAAATCTCCCCCAAATTTAGTGAAGTAGAACAATGCGTATTATCTCCCATAATTTCCGGGGTGAGGCATCTGGGGGTTGCTTAGCTGGGTGGTTCCAGCTCAGGGGCTCTCACGAGGCTGCATCTGAAGGGTTGACTGCGGCCGGAGGCTCCCTGTCCAGGTGGCTCAGGGTCAGTAGTGGCCGGGGCCTCGGTTCCTCCCACTTGGCCCCTGCTCAGGCCGAGTGTCCTCACGGCACGGCAGCTGGCCTCCCAGAGCCAGTGACCCAAGATGGCAGGGAGGGGAGGTGCAACGCTTCACGGCCCTGGGAATCGGCCCATTCAGCACGGGAAGAGCCGGGCGCAAGGGCGCAGATAGCGGGAGGGGCGTGTCCTCAGAGGCTGCCAGCGCACGAAGCGCTTTCCGGATTCCAAAGCGCTCTGCAGCCACAGCAGACACGTGCACACGTTAGCTCATAGGCCCCTCCCTGAGATAGTCCCATCTCTCCTACGAAGGGACTGAGGTGGGGGCTTTGTGAGTCGCTCTGGTCCTTGTTGTGCCCCAAGCTGGGCCTCCAGGGTTTATGAGGCCCAGGAAGGCATCCTGGAGGAGAAGTCCAGCCCAGCCCCAAGAGCAAGCCCAGAGCTAAGAAGGATGGGTCAGTTGTGGGTCAGCGAGGGCCAGAGCACCTGAGAACTCTGCAGGAGTCGTACAGAGGGCCTGGGATACCCGGCTGAGACGTCGGCCAGCAGAAACCGTGTCCCCACATGTCCCCTCCTCTGCGTCCCCAGCGCCCAGCCCAGGGCCTGGCGCCCGGACAGTCTGTGGAATTGGGGGCCATCCCAGGTTTTGGAGTGGTGGCAGGGGGGCTGCTGTGTCGCCAGCTCCTGTGGGAGAGGCCTGGAGGCAGGGAGGCCCAGTGGAGACTGAGAAGCCCCCTCGCCTGGTAGGTAATGCTGGGGCTGGCCCTACCTCACTGTGGCCCCCCTGTATGATTCGGGGGCCCCCTCCCTTCTTGGGCCATCCGTGAACCAGGGTAGATGCCTTCTGAGGGTATGACCAGCCTAGGGGACCCATGCCCCAGTCTGACCTTGGGGCCGAGGCAGGGGCCTGTGAGGTCCCATGAGGTGCTTGGTGGAGGCACAGAGCCTGTGCTGAGTGCCCCCCAGGTCCCCAGCTGGCCCCCAGATGTGCCCAACTCCTTGTTTCTGGGCCAGACTTCTCTCCCAAGGCCACCTCCTGCTGCTTCACGGGCTCCGACAGTCTCTGCTTCCCAGCCTTCCTGGGACCCCCCAGCCCTGCAGCCACGGGGCACACACTCACTCCCTGAGCCTCAGAACCTCCCCTGGGGCCAGACCCCTCGCTGCAAGGCTGGCGCCACCACTCAGCAGTAGGGGCGCGTCGCTGGGCAGTGCTGTGGCCTCCCACCCGCTCGGTAACCAGTGGGGGCCGGACAGTAATTTGGATAAGGTTCTGAGGCCACAGAGCTGAGCAGGGAGTGGGGTCACCCCAGGCGAGTCCTTTTCTTCCCCTCACCACACTCTTGCCCAGACTCACAGAGGAAAGGCAAGATGCCTTAGCCCTTCATGTCTCACTCTTCCCATCTTTAAAGTGGGCACCACAGTGTCTTTTGAAGGGCAAACACGTTAAATATTCATCAAGTCCACTTTATTTTACAATCTGTGCTTTTTGTGTCACATTTGAGAAATGTTTGCCAAACCCAAGGTCCCTAAGTTTTTTTCTCCCACGAAAAGGCACGTTGCAGACTAGAAGAAAATATTTGCAAACATATATCTGATGAAGGACTTGTATTCAGAATATATAAAGACCTTTCATAACTCAGCGATAAGAAGACTCAGAGCCCAGTGTTTGAAATGGGCCGAGTATTTAAACAGACATTTCAGCACATTGAAAGGATGCTCAGTATCATTAGTCACTAGGAAAAGGCACATGAGGACCGCAGCGCGGCGGCGCCTCACGCCTCCTGGAAAGGCTAGAATGAGCAAAGACCGACCACAGCGGGTGTCGGCAAGGGTGTGGTCAGCTGGGGCGCTCGTCCACTGACGGTGGGTGGGAAGCGGGGCAGCCACTTTGGGAAGTGAAACACCTGCCCTCGACCCAGACCCAGCTGCTCCGCTCCTAGGTTCTCGCCCAAGAGAGACGCACGCATATGTCCCACAAAAATGGTGCACGGATGTTCCCAGCAGCTCCCTGTAACCGGGCAGATCGAGCACCCCCTCCCTGGGTTGTCGGCAGGATTCCTGTTGCTGGTGAATGCTGTTACTTGGGCCAGCACGTGGCAAGCACTGAACGATTATATCTCCCTGTGTCGTCTTCATCTCGCCCAACTCTGTCAGGGCGCAACTGTGGAAACTGAGGCCGGGAGCGGGGTGGGGTGTTGACTGGGATTGGCCAGTGGGTCAGTGGCAACGCCGGACCCAGCAGCCAGGCCTCTTGCTGTGGCCAGCGGGTGCCCAGTTCCCTCTTCTTCCTTCGTCTTGGTGGGGTTGCTGAACCTTCAAGGGAACAGGGGAACGGGGGTGTCTCCGAACTTCCTCTTGGCTGGATTGAAGCAGCATTACCTGGGCAGACGGAGCAAATACCCTTCCCTGAACCGCCCAGCTAATAAGCTCCTCATTAAAACCTAATGAGGAGCTCCCTTGCTGATCTGGGCTAAATTAATCCACAAAGAGCACCATCTGATGCTGAGCCGGGCTCCTCTGGGCAGCCCGGACAGCAGCAGAGAAGAGAGGGGGCAGGGGAGGCGGAGCTCTGAGCCTCCGCACTGAAAACTGGAGCCTTCAGTTCCAGGATGCGGACCAGAAGGGAAAGGAGGCAGAGGCAGCCCTGGCCTCATCTCCTCCCGGAAGCTGCTTACGCCTGGAGCCGGGGGTGGGAGTGGGGGCAGAGCCGGGGAGCTGGGGCACAGCTTGGACCACTGCAGCCCAGCCCCACCCTGCTCCCCCTGTTCCGATGGTACTACTGCTGCACCACAAAGTGCCCCAAGCTCAGTGGCCTGAAACAACAGCGGTTTATTCTGCTCCCAGATCTGCACCGTGGGCGGGGCTGGGCGTGGACTGGACGCTGGTCTCTGCTGGCCGAGGCACTGGGTGGGGCATCCTGCCCGGGTGAAGGGGCCTCATTCCAGATGGTGAGCTCCAGGGGGGGCAGTCTGGGGGCGGAAGGGGGTGTCTGTGCCCCCAAGACAGAGCCAGGTGGCAGTGGTGTCGCCGTTTGTGGCCAGCGTCAGGAGTCACAGAGCATCACTTCATCACGCTGCGTCCTGGGGACCACTGCAAACGGGCTGGAACAGACTCCACCACTCGGCACGGGAGTGGAGGGTTCTGGAAGGGCGTGTGGGACATGAAAGTAGTGAGGCGACCATTTTTAGAGCTGCACCTGCATGGACCCCACACTCTGCAGGCAGAAAGGACCTTGATTCACCCAGCCCAGAGCCCCCCAAGAACGCCAGCCCTGCCAGATGCTGCCCCATGGCCTCTGAGGGCAAAAGCTAAACCCTGCGTTAGCTTTCCAGACCTGCAAAGTCCTTGAGCTTGTTAACTTGGAGGGTCTGAGGATGGAGGGGGAGGGGCGGCAGCCGAGGGGGCGCGGCCTGGCGGGGGAGGGCTCTGTTCACCTGCATCAGAGGCTGCGGCACTTTCCTGAGGAATGGAAAGCCTTTCTCTTTAATTTTTATTTATTTATTTTTGGGCTGCATTGGGTCTTCGTTGCAGTGCGCGGGCTTCTCATTGCGGTGGCTTCTCTTGTTGCAGAGCATGGGCTGTAGGTGCATGGGCTTCAGTAGTTGTGGCTTGCGGGCTCAGTACTTTTGGCACATGGCCTCGGTAGTTGTGGCTCGCGGGCTCTAGAGCGCAGGCTCAGTAGTTGTGGTGCACGGGCTTAGTTGCTCCATGGCATGTGGGATCTTCCTGGACCAGGGCTCAAACCTGTGTCCCCTGCATTGGCAGGCGGATTCCTAACCACTGTGCCACCAGGGAAGCCCGAAAACCTTTCTCTTTAATGTTTGATTTTTTCCTTCCATTGTTAATGGAATTGATTAGACTGGAGTTAGACCCCCCTCCCCCACCCCCACCCCCCATTCACCTGGTCCCTGAGCTATAGGAGGTCTGAGCTGGGCAATACCGGGAAACAGAATTACACACTGTCCTCAAGCAATTGTGCTCCAAGTTCAGAGTCACCAGAGTCACCATGGTGTCCCCATATCTGCCCTGGGACTTCCCCAAAACCTCAGGGGTCCTCCGGGACCCTGCCTATCCCCGTGAGATTTTGCTGAGGCTCGGAGTGGGAAGCAGGCTCTCCCACTGCACACACCTGGCAGCCGTGCGGCTGGGCCTCGGCCACACCCCTCTCACCTGTGGTCAGCAGTTTGCCTTGTCTTGCCAGCCACAAACAGACAGGACCTGGCCTGGGCCTGAAGCCACCAGCAGGGGCCTCCTTGACCACTGGGGGTGTGCACAGCTTGGCAAAGCGTGCGCTGTGCAGGGGTGAAGACCGGCTGCAGTCCCGGGCACCCAGGGAGAGCAGGGCAGGCCGGGCCGGGGACAGCAGATGGCCAAGACCCCATGTTAGCCTCCACCCAGAGGTTGTCCCCAGGACAGGAGCCCTGCTGCGGAGCCACCTCCCGTGGCCCCGGGCGCGTGGCTGCTCCTACCTCCTCCCACTTTCCTACCCACAGGAAGGGCCTGCCACCGACCCTGCCCCCCACAAGCTCCAGGTGAGGCCCAAGTGACACATGTCGGTGGCAACCCCAGGCTTCTTCCGGGGGAGAAAAGACAGGCCCCAGTGTCCCTTGGCTGAGCCTCTGAGCGTCAGACTGGCTTGGCCCCATCAAAGTCTCCAAGTTAACAAGTTCAGTCCTGGTGATTATTAACTAGATTCACAAAGTTGATGAAAAAACTCGGGATATAAATAAATATTCCTGGAGATGTTCCACCCCCTGCAGGCATGAACTTTGAATAATTGGAGAGAATTATGCTGAGGACTGATCAGGACTTTTTTTCTCTCACTAATTACCTCTGGGCTTCATCAGTGTCAGAGTCTAATCAACTCCAGACGTCCTAATCGACCCTCGGGCAATGTTAGGCATGGGGGGGCTTCGGTGTCACATGGAGGGGGGCGGGGAGCCGGGCGAGGGGTGCCGGGGTCCTGGCTGCAGATCCACCCTGGTCTGGGGTGGGGACGGGGGCTGGGGAGTGGGGTGGGGGGGGAGCCGCCTCACGGGCCGCCACCTCTGCTCAGGACGAAGGAAGCCCATCCTGCACTGCGGGCCAGCTTCCCTCCTCTGCATCCTTCCGGTGGCTCGTTGCCTTGTCTGCCCTGGCGTTCCTGGGTTAGATGGATGGGGCCCAGGGTGGGGGCTGGCACTGGGGCGGCCCCCAGTCATGGGGAGAGGCGTGTGAGGGCCGTGCTGCGGCCCAGGGCCAGTTCAGGATTCCAGGCATCTCTGGCGGGGAGGGAAGCTTTGCTCCCCTCCCTCCAAGAAAGTCATTTGCATCTGTTGAAAAATTCCTCCAGCGCTTGAGAGGAGAGGCCCAGGCCGCCAGTGGCTGATGGCTCGCTCGCAGTGGTTTTCTCCAGCGTCCTGAACGCAGGGGCTCAGGAGCTGTGACAGCTGGGCCGGCGCAGCCTCTCAGCTCCTCTGAGCAGGGCGCCCACCTCCTTGGCCTCGCTTGCTGGCTGGGCCTCATTCCCAGGGCCTGGTTCTGTCTCCTTCCTCCTTCGCCTCCCTGTTTCCCGAACCCAGGAAGGCCTTTAACCAATTTCAGAGGGAAAACTTAGTCGTGTGGAAATCCACCTCAACTTCCTCAAGAAACCAAAACCCCACCCAGAACCCTTCAGGCAGTCACGCCCCCATCCTTGCAAAGCGCCCAGGAGATGCTGCTGGTCGTGGTCATGGTCACCGCCCTTCCAGGTCCCCTTTGCAGTCTCCGAGCATGGGCCCTCCCTGCAGACCCCACAGAGACTTCTGCAGCCAGCAGGGGATGGGCGCAGCCCCGCGGGGTTGGGCCCTAGGAGACAACAGCCTCGTGAATCCCCAAGCCCCGAAAGGATCCTGGACTTGGGATCCCGAGACCTGGCTGGGGGACTTGGGTGCCCTGCACCCTCCCATCGGGGGGCCCACATAGACCCAGGATGGCTGAAGTGGTGTGTCTGGGACACTCTTCTCTCCCTGGGGTCCCCGACAGCTCCCCGCAGCAGGCAGGTCCTGGCCGTGGTGGTCGGGCGGGCAGTTCCATCCTGTCCTCACAGCCCCTGAGGGGCCGGTTCTGACCGCCCCCCACCCCGTGTTTCCTGCAGGAGCCCAAGGCTGTGACTGCAGCACAGCTCCCCGCCCTGCATCCCACGGTCGGCATGGACCCCAAACCCTTTCTCCTGCAGCAGAGGGAGAGGACTGTGGGTGGGAAGTGAGGTTCCCAGAGCATCAAAGCCTAGGCTGCTTCCCTCCCAAGCGGAGAGGGGGCGTGGCCTCTCCCCCCAGCTCTGCTCAAAGTGGCTCAGAGGCTGCGGAAGGGGGTTTGCTCCTATTCGTCCCAAACTTTCCAGAAAGGGGGTTGAGATCGCCTTTAATTACAGAGCAGAGGGGTTCGGGGAGGATGCACCAAGGAGCACCCTGCCCAGGGAGGCAGGAGGCCCAGGGGTGGGAGGACAGCGGCGCCCAGAGGGACCCTGGGAGAGCAGGGGTCCTGGGAGGTGGAGTCTGGGGAGGGGTCCTGGCGTCTCTGCCTCTGGCTCTCTCCTTGCTTCTCCAGGCCTAGCCTCCACCTTCCCGTCTTCCTGTCTCTCCCCACCTGCCGTGCAGGGGTCTCAGGTGTGCCGCTGAGCCAGGTGGCCCAGGGTGGGGCTGGCTGGACCGCTCCCGTCGCCTGCCCGTCCTGGTGCTGGCTGACCAGCTGCCCCCGCAGCCCCTGGCAGGGAGGGAGGTGATGTTCCGACTGCTTCCCGTCTCCCAAGGTCCAGAGGGGTTCAATAGGCCCGGACGCCCCTGAGCCCGGGCCACGTCGCTCCTTCCTGCCACCCTGCCACCTTAGCCAGAACTTGCGAGTCGATTTTGTCTGATTCCACGCAAAGACAGGGTAGATGGCCACTGACCTGAGAGATTCTGGGTTCTCTTTTTTTGTCTTTAGACACATCAGGGGTTAGCATCTTCTGCTTCACAGGAGGGACCCCCAGGTAGAGCCCCCTGAGTGGCGTGGCGCCAGAAGCTCCAGGGCCAGCCGTGGATGCAGAGGGCCCCCTGCCCTGTGCCCGGCACTGCGCGCCGGCCACCTTCCACATCCTGACGGGACTTGTGTGCCGGGGGACTTTCCTGGGGGGAGTGGCTGACTCGGGATTCACACCCAGACTGGATCCCCAGCCCGTACCCCTGTGGGGATGGGGGGCTGCTGCGGCCGCCGGCTTGGCAGGAGCTGGTAGGAGGTAGCGAGGTCTCCCGACTCCTCCCTGAGGGAGGCCTGGATCTGGGGGTCCAGCTGCTGCTCCGTCCCCACCTCCCCTGTCCCCAGGGAGGCCCATGTTCCTGCCTCTCCCTGACCCTGGATTGCTGTGTGACTCTGGGCCCCGGCCTCCCCTCTCTGGGCCTGTTTCCCTTCTCTCATCCAGATTGGATTCCACGAGCCCCAGGTCCTTCAAGCCCAGACACCGTGTAACTTAGGCTGCCCAGGGCCACCAGAGGCTGTCCCCACTCTCCCGGGGACCTGGGCTCCTGCTGGGCCCACGGCTGGCCTGGCCCCCTTGTCCGCAGCAGGAGCATCCGTCATGCCTCCGTGATAGATTATCTGTCCCTCTTCCTCCCGCCCTCGTGCTGTTTCGGCTGCAGAATAACGTTTATCACTTCACACTACATGACACCCTCCCTTCCTCCTTCCTTCCGTCCTTCCCTCCCGCCACCGCCAGCAGATATCAGAAGATTTTCTTGGGCTATTTTCATGATTTTAATTTTCCATTCCCCATCTCCCCTCTTCCCCCTTATTACATTTTGGGCTCTTTTTGGGCTTCTGGAATGAGCCTACATTTTCCCGGTGATACTTTTTAATAAAAACCATCATTTATGATTATTTTAGTCCCCCACAAACTGTCAGCCTCCTCATTTGGTTTCCTATCGACGTGGTGTCCTGCCTGCTTTGACACCATGCAGATGGACGTGTGTGCTCACCCTCTCAGCCTCGGGACTTGCTCCAGAGACTCAGGCCTCCCTTGGCCTTGGGACCCTCCTATCCACCTGCCCTGTCCTGTCTCAGCCCAGCCCTGCCGCCCTCCGCTCTCAACGGCCCTTGGTCTCCTGAGTCTTCTGTTTTCCTCCAGGTGAGTATCACCTGCACACCTTTCTCAGCTCCGTGTATTAGAAGGGATTGAGGTCGCAGAGAGGCGGGGCTGCTAGCGGAGTCTTCCCCGCTCCTAATGGCTCAGGATCGCCAAAGATGGTCGTTTTCCACAAAGATCTGTGTCTAACCTGCAGGCATTACCCAGTGAGACAGGGGCTGACCCATCGTGCCCTCCAGCATGACCTGGGACGGGGCCCTTCCTCTGAGACTCGGTTCTCCCTTTAAAATACAGACACACGTGGAGCTGTGGATCATTCATTCATTGGATATATACAAATTGAGGGCCTACTAAGTGCGGGAAGAATCACACACCTGTCCTAGGGTAGGAACCAGCTCAGGTGTCACCCTCCTGCATACCAGAGCCCTCACCCACACTTGTACACTCACAGAATGGAGCCCTGGACTGCCTCGTGGTTTTGCTGTGTGACCGCGGGTGAGTTACTGACCCTCTCTGAGCCATCATCACTTTCCTTCTCTGGGCTCCCTCCACCCCTGACATTAGTCTTGTCCTCATCAGCCCCCAGGCGATCCTGTTTCCAGCAGCTGCAACCTCTTCCCAGCTCTTTCTGGCTGCTTGCCAATTACCCGGAGGAGCCAGACCCATCTTGAGGCACCCAGCTCCCGGCCACTCCCCCCCCCCCCCGCCCCCGCCCCCGCCTGCCACGCCCAGGCGTCCGTGACTAGCTGGGCCCGGGAGCCCACGCCCATGGCAGGGAGAGGCCATGGGGCCCTCTCACCCTGGCCAGGCCCTCGCTGGCCCCTGCTCCTTGTCAACCTCTGGAGAGGGGTCCCTGTTGGGCCTGCTGGTGGATGGGCCGCAAGGCCCAGGGCCACTGCCCAGGTTCTGGCCCCAGGTTGGCCAGACAAGTGAGTAATGGATTCTCCCTCCCAGCCCAGCTTCTCCCTTATCAGTGGTAGGAGATTGCTATGAATATTCATAGGACTCATGAATACTCACGCGGGTAATGACGTGCTCCTCTCCACCCCCTTGCCCTTGAGCACCTCCATAGCTTTCCAGGCTCCCTGCACCCTCTTCTCTCCTTGACCCCTGCCTGAGGGGGCTTTACCTCCATTGCAGTGAGGCTGGCAGGAGACCCCGGGTGGGAAAGACCCCTGGCCTGGTGTCCAGGGGGTCTGGGTTCCTGTCTCCACTCTGACCCCATTCTGCATGGGAGGGCTGGCTTCCCCTGGGCCTCAGTTTCCCTTCTGACCTCCATGGGCACCGAGGGTCCGGCCAGGCTGACTGCCCCTGGAACAAACACATCCTCTGATTCCACTTTCTGGGCGGGTGCTCCATTGTGTGGGGACAAAGCTGGGGGCTTGGGTTCTCTGGGGGTGAGCCAGGCAGACTTTGGGTTACCCAGGTGGGTAACCAGAGACGCCTGGGGTCCGATGTCACGGGCCCGCGGCCAGGGCCTGCTCAGCTAGCGGTCCCTTGGGACTGGGGAGACACAGGTGGGTGGGTGCACTCACCAGGAGGGGTGGGGTCAGCTGACAGGACAGCAAACGGAGAGCTGCTGAGCAGGCAGAGATCCTCTGCTGTGGTCTGTGTTCAATACCCGTGTCCGCAGGGGAGACCGGAGTGGTTACCTCGAAGATGAGGTCCATCTTGAGAGAGTCACCCTCACAATGCAGTAGAGACACTGGAGGGAAATAGGGGACGAGGGGCAGAGATACGGCAGGAGAATTCAGATCTGGAGGCTGCGGAGGGGGTGGGGAAAGGGGGCGGGAAGACCTTCGAGGTCAGGGTCAGGGTGAGCTGGGGCTTCCCTCTGCCTGGAGGGAGTCAGGCTCCGCTGCTCTTGCTGCGTGGCCTTGGGCAGGCCGCCTGGCTCTGCATCTCAGTGTCCCTCTCTGTGCATGCCTCTTCCCGGTGTTTTCAAGGCCAGCTACCCTTGCCCTGCGTGGGAGGGCCCCACCCTGGGGCATTTGGCCACTTGTCCAGAGGGGAGCCAGGTTGGGGAGCCGTGACACACCGCAGAGCCCAAAGCTTTGGGATTCCAAGAGGGCAAACCCTGCCTCTGCATCTGCCCAGGCTCCCTGCCGCCCCAGACCTCTGGGGGCGCTTCCTCTCCCGGCACCTCCGCCCATGCTGAACCCCAATTTCCTTGCAGCTCCCTCTTTGCTTGTCTGACTCTCACTGGGCTGCAAGCCATGGGCATCCAGGGCGCCCAGCCCCGTCTCCTGCTGATGGACTCCCCCAGGGCAAGGAGTAGCTCCTGGCCTGCAGGCCTTTTGCAAGGGTGAGGGTCTCTGGCAGGAGCACAGCGGTGGCCAGCTTGTCAAGGAGAGTAAGCCCTGACCAGCACCTTCCAAGAGTTCCAAGACACGAGGCCCCTTCTGTCCACTGGTCACCAACTAGACTCCACGGACAGCGGCCTCCTTTGCACGTGAGCAAACTAAAGGCTCTGGGGGTCCTGATCCCTGATCCCCGTGCTTCCAACACACACTCTGACCCCTGTCCTGGGGCCCTGCCCTGCTCCCCGCAGCCTGGAGTGGAGGCTCGGAGTGGTCCGGCGCTCGCCCAAGGTCGTGCAGGGAGCAGGTGAGGCCAGGCCCCCACCCACGCGCAGTCTGCACCCCGTCCCACCTTCCCGGGTGGAGGACAGACGGCGGGCCCCTGCCCACGGGTCTCACTCAGGCTGACCCCGCATGAGTTCCTTCTCCGAGACCCAGCCTTCTCCGTGCTGTTTGCCTAAATTTATTCAACTCAGTCTTCCCACAGGAGCCCCACGGCCACCGTCAACATCTGTGGGGACACAGCCGAGGAATGCCTAATGAGGGCTCGGCGTGGCCCCGCCACGGAGCACAGGCTGGGACAGATGGTCCATCATTACTCATTTTTATTAATTACTAGCTCCGCATGCCGCGACTGGCCAGCCAGCTCCAGGCTCCTCGGAGGTGCCACGGGCCCAGCTCTTCTGGAAGAAACGGCCCTTCATTTAGATCAGCGTGCCTCCCGGCCTCCTTTGAGCCACAGACATTTCTGGCTCGCGCGGTCCCTGGGGTGCTGGGCCGGGCGTGGAGCAGCCACCTGCCTGAGGGGACTGGGAGAGGGGCCTGCACAGGACAGGAACAGGGGGCTCCTGGGGACCCTGGCCCGGGGCTCGGGCGGGCAACGAGGCTCCAGGACCCCCAGGAGCCAGCTCCGGGCTGCGGCTGCCTCCTGAGCCCTCTCCCTGCTGGCCTCTAGCCTGCGGGGCATCACCTGCCTCAGAAGGAGCCTGTCTTCCATCTCTGCCCTGCTGGCCTCGTGAGGGCCTTGGGGCCCGCAGACCCCTGGTGCCGGGGAAGGTTGTGCTCTGGGTGTTGGTCCGGTTGGAGCTCCACAGCCATCTGCAGATGCTCCAGACCCCAGCTTGATCCCTCCCGGGGGCCTCTGGGGTCCCATAGCCTTGGGTCCCAGCCCAGCATTGCCTCTGACTTGCAGGGATGCAGGGTAAATCCCCCCATCCCTGGACTTAGCCCCAACTGCAAGATGGGGGCACGTCCTCCTTGAACGCTGAGTGGTGGGCGGCCCCAGAACCTGCGCTTCTACTGATGCTGCAGAACTAGGACCAGTTCTGCTTTAGGCAAGTCCCTTGCCACCCGCAGCCTCCGCGAGGGGTGATCGTGTCCTGCCGGACCCCCGACAAGAAGGGGGAGAAAGTGCATGCGGGACAGTGACCCGCCATGTCAGACAGTCCTGGGAGGGGTTCACTGATGCTGGGGGATGACTGGGGGCCCCAGGCTGCGTCGGGCGCCCTGGGAGCCCGCGTCTCCCTGCGGCCAGGACACCGACTTCCCTCCAGCTTCAGTGTGCGGCCTGTTAGCCCGGGAGATAATGGGACATGAAGGACAAGATCTCTAGTCAATATAAAGGCGCCGTGGAGGCTTTTTATATCTTGCTTCTGTCACACTGGGTAGGCGTTTTATCTGCTGCCCACTTGACAGTACATCGTACAGCTGGGTCCCTGCCCTGCTGGTGTCCATCACAGCCTGTCCCGGGCTGCTGCCCATTAGCCCGCGAAGCCCAGACTCCCGAGAGGTCAGCTCCAGGGGGCACTGGTGGCTGCACAGCCAGGAGAGCTGGGGACACCTTTGCAGAGATGCAGGGGAGGCGAGGAGGTGTGGGTGGAGGTCACGTGGGAGGGGGCAGGCAGGGCTGGGCCGAGGACTGAGCTGAGGCCAGGAGCCCTCAGAGGTGGGCCCACCACAGGCTGCCCTGAGATGGCCCGAGGAGCCACCCTGTCTGGGGCAGGACGGGGTGCTCAGCTCTTCTCAAGACAGAGCCAGGTGGGACATGTAGGTGCATAAACCAGCAGCTGCCAGGGCTGAGTAGTGAGCTCCCTGACATTGGAGGAAATCAAGCACATCCTGATGCCCCACTGGGCCAGGAGGCTTGAGTGGGAGAAGAAACGACAGTAATTCAAGGGGCGGTGTGTATTTTTCTCAAAAGTAATTGAGCGGGGGGGCACGTTGTCCTGCAAGGAGGTGGTGGAGGGGCCACCTCCCACACTAGTTGGTGCTTTAATGGAGGCCCAGGGGCTGGGCAGCCTGGAGGGATCTGAGGCCTGCAGCTGTAGATCCCAGGCTGCCCTGCAGAGCCGTCGACATGGACCCAGGAAGGGGTGGATCAGGGTGGCTGTGAGGAAGGCCACCCCCTGGACTCTCGTCCACATGCCTCTGACCCACGAATCAGGCCAGAGGGAGGGCGCTCGGCCAGGAAGGATGGAGGCGCTGGCCTCATTCCTGGAGGAAACTCAATCAATCGTTCCCTGCAGCAGGGCACCTCCTGGCCCAAATCGCCTACTTTGCCTGGTTTTCCATCCTGACGGGGGCTCAGGGTAAGTGGCCTGTCTTTGGGGGCAGAGGGCCCTCTGGGAAAGGAGAGCAGCTGACACTGAAGCAGGAGATGGGACAGTCGGTTGGCATGGAGACTGCCAGGGGGAGGGGCGGAGTTGGCCTCTGTTCCCTGGACCCACTTGCCTGTCCCTCCCCTGGGATCCCCCCCCCCTCCAGCCAGGTCAGTTCAAGTCCTGTGAGGGGCACTGGGGCTCGGGGGCACTGGCACAAGCCCTTTCCTGCAAGGTGATCCCCGACCAGGAACCACGACCCCAGCCCAGGTGATGGGCGTGCACGGGCACCTGAACCGGCCCAGGACACCCAAGCTGGGCCTGAAGGGCAGAGGCCTGGGGCAGGCTGACCAGCGTGCTGGACAGCATGCCACGCAGGGGCACAGGTGTAAGCACAGGCCTGGAGGTGAGGAGGCCACACCCTCAGAAGGGGACGAGCGCGCGCTAGGATGGTGCCCACTGAACCCAGACCCGCCCTCCTGCCCCCGGGCTCCTGCGCCCCGGGGCTGGGCTGCAGCGGGTCTCCCAGGGAGAAGGGTGGGCATTGGGGCCCCCACCGAGCAGGGCAGCAGGGCTACACGCTGACGGCCCACCTGTGAGGAACGGCACGCCTGTGGCTCGGTCCCGAAGCACCTACTGTGAGTACTTTGCCCAAAGGTGACACTGCTGACTGGTCCTGACCCCAGGGGCTCACGTGAGAAGTGGGGGAAGGGCCGGTGCTGCAGCCGCTTTCACTGTGTCGGCAGGGGTCCACATGTGTTCAAGGCCACGTCCACTTGGGGCCTCCGACGGCACCTCCATCTTGGAGTCCCTGGAGGGACCTGGCGGCCCCCCTGGGGAGCCGTGGTCCCCGGCCTCTCACGCTGTAGGAGAGCAGCTCCAGCCCTCAAAGCACGAGGGGGTGCAAGCCCCTTTGGGACAGCTTTCCTAGCCCCACCTCTGCAGCCCCGGGAAAGGCGGCCCGTTAGTTCCCAGAACTTGGAGATGCAATGGACCCGACTCAGGTGTGAGGCCCCCTCTGTCTGTCCGTCCATCTGTCCTTCCTGCCCGCATCCAGTCTGCAAATATTGGCTGCTCCTTGATGGTGGCCCTGGGCCGCGCCTGTCAGGGACACAGACCTGACATCTCAGGGTCCCTGAGGGCAGGGTGCCTCAGTGTGGCCCGGCCCGAGCTCCGACAGCCCCGGCTGTCGTAATCCACATTCCTAATCATCAAGAGGGAAAATTCTGGAAAAAAAAAAAAAAAAAAGAGAACGAAAAGCACCATCATTTGGCCAGGTCTTACTTCTGTGCACATGTACATTTTTTCTTTGCAAAATTGGAATTGAATTTTCTATGCAGTTAATACTCTGTTGATTTCTCCACCCAACAGCCCATCGTGTGGTTTATCCCAGACGCGCGATGCCAACAAAGACGTGCGTTTCTGCAGCCTCTGGCTTCCAAGGAGGCGACATGGCCCCCATTTCCTCTGGTCGGTGTGCAGCTGGCCCCAAGGAGCAGGTGGGGACACAGGTGCGAACAGAGGTCACGCAGGTGAGCAGGAGAGAGGCCAGAGCTGAGGCCACGGGGGAGCAGCGTGGCGTCTGAAGGCTGGGCAGATGTCTCTGCCTCCCTCAGACCGAGACGCCACGGGGGTGGCGCTGTGAGGCCTCCAGGCGCCCAGCCCCACGATGGGGAAGAGCGGCCGTGATGTGCGAACGACTCAGCGCCGCTCAGCGAAACGGCAGCCAACGGACACACACCTTTGGACAGGGTGGAAGGAGCCAGACCCAGGGAGGGCATATACTCTATGACCCCAAGTTTATGAAATTCCGGAAGAGAGTAAGCCAACGTACGGTGGAAAAAGTCAGAGCCAGGGTGGCGCGGGGGGCTGGGGCACGTGGGCATTTTTGGAGAGAATGTTCTGTCTGTCAATGGGGGTTTGGGCCGCAGAGCACACGTTAGAGCATTCGATGGTCCCCCTGATGTTTCTACATTTCATTATCAATTTTACTCCAAAGAATGAAAAAATCCATAACGAACATTGAACTGTAGTTTGTGCTGTGCGCGCTGCCTGTTTAGGGGTGTCGTGTATGGACATCTGCAACCAACTGGGAAAGTGGTTGATTCCTGGGGGCTGGAGAGAAAGGTGATAAAGCAAGTGGAGCCAGACGTCTGCTGTGGGCGTTTGGGTGTCACCATAAAATTATATCAACTTTTCTGTATGTTTGAAAATTTGCAAGATTACATGTGAAAGCCAATGAAAGAGGCCAGGTGCTGTAGCCAAGCGGCTGGACCGTGGTAGCTGTTCACTGACCGTGTGTGTGAGACCTTGGACTAGTTTCTTGGACTCCTGGTGCCTCAGTGCCGCCATGGCATGAAAGAATTAACGAACATCAAGTACTTACACGCAGTAAGTACTGGCGTACAGTAGGTGCTTGAAAAGTGCGCCCCTTGTTGGTAGCAATTCCATTGTTGGTAATACTGAGTTATCAGGGCTCCTACATGTGCTGGAGGCAGCCCGGGAGGCTGAGGGATAAGCCAAGGGTTTGCACTGAGTTCAAGAGTAAAGGGCCCCAAAGAGTCAAAACGATCTTGCAGGTGAAGAACGAAGCAGTGGGTTCCCACGTCCCACTGTCAGGTTCTACAGGGACCAGGACAGAGGGGTCTGGCAGAAGGATAGAGACATATACACCTATGGGGTAGAACTGAGGGTGCAGAAATAAACCCTTGTATTTACGTTCACTTTATTTTTGACAAGGGGGCCAAGACGATTCAATGGAGAAGGAACAGTCTTTTCAACAAATGGTGCTGGGACCAACAACACGGGTAAAGAATGAAACTGGACCCCCTTTTCACAGCATCTGAAAAATAACTTAATGGATCAAAGACCTAAATATAAGGGCTGAAACTATAAGACTCTTAGAAGAAAACATAGGAGTAAATCTTCACCTTAGGCAGGGGCTTCTTAGGTACGACATCAAAAGCACAAGCAACGAAAAGAAAAAAAAAAATTGGACCTCATCAAAATTAAAAACTTTTGTGCTGCAAACAATTCCAACAAGAAAGTGAAAAAACCTATAGGAAGGGAGAAAATATTTGCAAATTATAAATCTAATTAGGAACTTGTGTCTAGAATATATAAAGAACTCTTGCAACTCAATAATAAAAAGATAAATAGCCTAGTGGCCGTGGACAAGGGCCCTCATAGACATTTCTCCAGAGAAGACTTACAAAGGCCAAGAAGCTCATGAAAAGATGCTCAACATTATTAGCCATTGGGAAACGCAAATCAAAACCACAGTGAGATACCCTTTCGCACCCACTGGGATGGCCAGAATCAAACAGACATAAAAACAAGTGGTGGTGAGGGTGTGGAGAAGTTGAAACATACACACTGCTGGTGGAAATATGAAACGTTGCATCCACTTTGGAAACAGTTTGGGAATTCTTCAAAATGTTAAACACAGAGTTACCATATGACCAGCAATTCCACTCCTTGGTATATACCCAAGAGAAATGAAAACATATGTTAATGTAAAAACTACGTAAACGTTCATAGCAGCATATTCGTAATACCCCCAAAGCGGAAACAACCCAAATGTCCATCAGCTAATGAATGGATAATAAAATGTGGTCCATCCATACAATGGAATATTATTAGCCAATCAAAAGGAATGAAACTGTGACATATGCTACAACATATATGAATCTCAGCTTTGAAGTTCCTGCAGAAGTCTTCTGGGCAGGCGTTGGGCCAGTACTGTGGCACGGCAGTGGAAATGGGAAGAGAATGATTATTTCAAGATGCTACAGAGGCATGTGTCAAAGGATGCAGGCATGGATCCTCCCTTTCCCTTCCTCTCCACATCTTGCCTTCCCTCCATCTTCCCTTCCTCTCCATCTCTGTAGAAGTAGGAGAAGAGGGATCTAGGATTCTAAACCATGTAGGCCAAGTATTTGTCAGAAGGAGAAGCAGTGGAGTAGGAAGGAGGGAATCTGAATTTTCATCATAGACTTGCTGCCGACTAACATTTGTCTTGGGCAAGAAACCTCACTTCGTGGCCTCATCTTCCTTGCGTGTAAAATGATGCTGATTCAGACGCTTTCTCAGACTCATTCAGCTCGTCTTCCACTCTTTTATTCCAAATGCCTACGTGACAGGTTAACATGATTTTAAATAAACTCCATATCTGAAAAAGACGAAAAACAGAAAACAAAAAAAACCCCTGCATTTTACCACTAAGACAATACCACTAAGTGAACTTAGCCGGTCACAAAAGACCACAGAGCATATGATTCCATTGATCTGAAGTGTCCAGAAAAATCAAATCTACAGAGACAGAAAGTAGGTCGGTGGCTGCCTAGGGTTGGAGGTGGTGGTGGAGAATGGGGGTGACTGCTAACGGGTACTGGGGTTTCCTTTTGGGGTAAAAAATGCTCTCAAATTAGATGGTTGCGCAACTCTGAATATACTAAAATCCATTGACTAGCACGCTTGAAATGGGTGAATTGTATGGCATGTAAATTATCCCTCAATAAATCTGTTGAAACAAGAGAGCCTTGGGTTCAAGTTCTGACTCGGCTCTCTGGGGCAAGTCTCTGTCATTCCAGGAACGAAGTTCAGTCTGATACGTAAAATGGGGCTGGGACGATTTGCCTTCCTGGGTTATTGCGGGGACCAGATGAGATGACAGATATGAAACAATTTTTCATTTTAACTTCTGTATTTAAATGTATTACAAAAGGAAATGTATGCACATTGTACAAAATTCAAATGGCAGATGTGGGTACTCAGTGAGAAGTCTCATTTTCTGGGGCGATGGAAGTTTCAATATCTTGATTGGGGTGGTGATGACACAGATGTGTACATTTGTCAAAACTCGTGGAACTGCACTCTTAAGGAGGTTGAATTTCATTGTCAGTAAATAATACACACAAGCAAGTAAAATGTTATTTTGTTACACCCTTTTTGTACTCGTAAAAAAAAAAAAAAAAAAACGTACTACATACACTGTTCCTCTCCTTGTTTGTTCCCCTAAAGACCATTCTGGGAGATGGACTCAAATCAGTCTGTGCTTATCCAGCTGCACGCGCCTCCATGTGGATGTGTCCCAGCGCTCCACCGCCAGCCGGTATTTAGGATGTTTCCAATCTGCTGCTATTACAAAGAGTGCTTCAGTGAATAACCTTGAATGCAGTAATATATCATTTTTCACGTTTGTGAGCAGTCTCTGGAGGACAGATTCCTAGAAGTAAATGCTGGGCCAAAGGATATATGTATTTGTAATTTGGACATTGTTTCAGATGTTCCAAGAGTGCCTGCTTCCCTATACCATTGCAACATGGTGTGTCATTAAACTTTACTCTTTGCCCATTGGATCAATGAAAAATTATCTTTGAGAGTAATTTTAATTTGCATTTCTGTTGTTAAGTGTGAGACTGGGCACTTTTTGTATATATAAGTGTTATGTTTATCTCCTTTTCTGTTCATAATCTCTGCTCACTTTTTTCCCTCTTGGGTATATTTTTAAATTGATTTGTAAGAGCTCTTTACATATGAGGATAAAGGATCTTTGCTTGGATATAAGTTGGACATATTGCTTCTTTTATGGCTTTTGGGTTTTATATTGTTTGTTGTTGTTACTGTGAAGTTCTGGGCACAGGAAGAGACAGTCTCCATTTTTCTCTGGGTGCCATCTCCCAGTATGGGGGTGGGGAGGGCTCTTCTCCACATTAATCCCGGCCACTTGTGTCCCTCTGCTCTTTCCCTGCGTACTCTCAGGTGGCTGACTGACCTGCCTGGGTCAGCTCCTCCCAGCCAGGCCATCGTTAGAGGAGAGAGGAGCCATGACAGGGGTGCGGAGAAATGTGAGACCCTCATCTATTCTGAAACTGCGCTCAGTCACCCCTCCTGTGCTGGTCGGGTGTATGGCACCTGGATTCAGAGGTGGGTCAGACTGTCCTGCTCTGCTGAGTTCACAGTCTGGTGGAAAATCCAATGTGGTGAGTACTTGGCCGGGGGAATCTCAGAGTGTCCGGAGGAAAGAGGCGGGGGGACACAGGCACGGGGTGGGGGTGGGGGCCCTAGCAGCTGGGGAAGGTGGTGGCCCCATAGCCCCAGGCCCGAGGGCCCTCACTTCCTAGCTTGCCTCTCCCCAAAGAGCACTGGGGTGCATCCAGATACGGCAGTTGGTTTGTTACAATAAAAACAAGAATCTTGCTGACCCAGTTCCTGTACAGTTCAATCCTGGCCTCCCTGTGAAGCGGGAGGTGTTAATAGTACTCATTTCTAGGGTGGCCGTGAGGATGAACTGAACTGAGGCACACAGCAAGCACACGCTTGACACATGGAAGTGAAGTTTATAATTCCACGTGGGTGCGCGTGAGTGCATGTGTGTTAGGTGTGGACTTGGGATTCCACGTGGGTGCGCGTGAGTGCGTGTGTTAGGTGTGGACTTGGGATTCCACGTGGGTGCGCGTGAGTGCGTGTGTGTTAGGTGTGGACTTGGGATTCCACGTGGGTGCGCGTGAGTGCACGTGTGTTAGGTGTGGACTTGCGGTGTATTTGACTTGAGGGTGCTTGGAGCAGGATGCCAGGCTATACCAGCTACAACTTAAGCTGGGCTTCTGTGAGGGTGGAGCGGTATCCCGCGTTCCCGACCAGATAATGCCTCGTGGTGGAGTGGGCTGGTGGGTGAGGTTGCGGCTGCCTATAGACATGAGGTGTGTGGGTGCAGTGTGTCTACAACAGAGGCTGGGCGGGGGGGTTCTCAGGAGGAGAGGAGTGTCTGAGAGATGAAAGAGAGAGGGAGGTAGAGAGAGAGGGAGGGATCTTGCCTCACAGGAGACACACCAGAGAGAGAGCCCTCCGCCTTTATTTAGCCCAGAGAGACGGGCCTCCCTCCTCCCTCCGGGTCTGCCCTGGGGTCTCCCATTCCCAGCCTGAGGCGGGTCTGGCCTTTCTGGGGTGCAGCTGCCAGGCTCTGCCCTCTTAGAGCAAACAAAGGCATATTTCCACATCTCAAGATGCTGGAGCAGGAAAGGCCTGGGTATCCGGCAGGAGTGCTCCCCTAAGGCAGGAGCACCGCGCCTGGCGAACCAGGTCACCGAATTGCAAGGCCCTGGCGAGTTGGGGAGAAAGTGGGAACGGGGGCTGTGAGCCGGCCTAGGCTACAGAGGGGCAGTGCACCTCTAGTAGGGACCCTTGGCAAGAGAGACACCCCCCCCAAGGCAGCCTCTGCCCCCACCTCTCGGTCCCAGGAGGTCTGAGCACCCCTCAAGGACAGGACAGCCAAAAGACAGTGGCTCCGACATTGACCGTCATCCTCTAGGCGCAAGGGTCCAGGGGCAAGGTGGTGGCCTATCCTCTATCCCGGATCCCTCTGGGGTCTCGGCTCTCCCGCGGAGACGTCGAGTCTGGTGGAGGCGCGGGTGGGGTTGGGAGGAGCTGGAGGGCGGCAGCGGGCGCCGCAGGCTGGACGGAGTTTATGGGCTGCGGAGAGGCCGCTGGACCGGACCCCTAACCGGAACCCGGCGCGCCCATCCTCGGCCTGGCCAGCCTTTGGCCGCGCTGCTCGCAGCCTCACGCGCCACTCCCACGCCTGTCCCGGCACCTCCTCCCGGGGGGGGGGGCGCCCCTCACCCTCCAGCAGCCCCCTCCCCTATGCCGCGCGCGCCCCGCGGCGCTCAGGTCGACCCCGCCGTCTCTGTCTCCCTTCCCGGGCCGGGGCAGGACGCGGGGCAGGGGCGCGGCGCAGGGCGCGGCGCCCGGAGGGTCTTGCCCCGCGCGCCCGCCGGCGTCCCGGCTCCCGGGCTCCGACACAGCGGCTCAGGAAGCGGCGCGCAGGCCGTGCCGGGCGGGGGCGCTCTTGAGTCTGGTTTGGAATTCTCACCGAACACGCAAGCCGCAGGCTGGGCAGCGGCCGTGAGGAGCGGGAGCCGCCCCGGGAGGCGGTGTGGACGCTGGGTGCGGGCTCAGCGAGACCAGGGCGCTGCGGATTTAGAACCCTGTTTAGAGGCCGACCGAGAGATTTCAGTCCCCCGGGGGTTCG